ATTGAATTTTAGCTGGATCGATGTTGAAAGATCTTAGACATTATGAAAATATTGAATGTTCTTTATGCTATAAAATCTTAATATCAGAGGTCCTAAAAACAATCTCACAAAAAATGGCAAAAACTAAGGTTGCATATGGTACATCCCTTTCAAGAGGCGTGTACATTAGAATTTCCCCTTTATAACAAAAAATTATTAGGTTGTGGTGGAGTAACAAATACATTATTTGAGGTGTGCTTAAAATACAGATTTGTCATTATGATTTGAGAAATTACAAATACCTCGTTGTCAAAATTTTTTATTTAACAAAATTAACTAAAAAAATGAAATTCCTAACTCTTCCCTATACAATGATGAAATTACCCAAATTATTAATTGAAATAAATTTATAACATTAATTAACTTAATAATTTATTAATAAAATAAGTTATTTGATGTGCAATTAAAAACTTAAAGGGGGCGGTATGTAGTTTATAGAATTACATGAGTCAAATCACACTTTAAACAAATCTCAAAATAAGTATCTATAATTTATCCAAATTTTACTATGGCCTTATTTGAGAAGTTGGTTATTTTAATTGGCAATTTAACTTATTGACTATTTTAACCTGATTAAAATAGTTGTTTTTTTTTTGTTTTTTTTTTTGGTAATTAATTAGATGGTTTGAAAAGAAAGAAGTAAAATGATTACGGATTAGATGTGACATTTTATCTTATTAACTATTTTAACCTATTTTGTATTTATTTCCTATCTTAGCCAAAACAACTAAAAAAACAACTTACATGTCATTAATTGGGAGTACTATATAAATAATGTACACGACGACTATCAATCAAGCTCACTTATAGGTCATTTTGTGAGTTGACCTATAATTGTTGAGCTCAACTAAATGACACTGCCTATGTCATTTAGTTAGTTGTTGAGCTATCTGTTGTGTTCTTTATTTCATTCTCATTGTGAACACAATTTGTTCACTTGGTTGTTAGACTTTTATGATGTTGGACTAGGATTGTTTTGATATAATTTTTTTCATGCTTGTAAATAATTTCTTATATATGTGAGTAATGGGTTAATCTTTCACTACAAAAAAAAACACCTTTGGCGACTAAATTTTTAGTCGCCAAAGGTCCCATTTTAGTCGCCAAATGTCAAAATTTCACTTTTCCCGACTAAAAAGTTTAGTCGCCCGTGTTGTCGCCAATAAATCGTCGCGGATGCCTTTGGCGACTAAAATACTGTTAGTCGCCAATATATATGTCTTCAGCGACTAAAGATTTCGTCGCCAATAGTCATTTTTTATTTTATTATTTATACCTTTGGCGACCATTCACTTTAGTCGCTGAAAGTGTTTTCAGGAAAAAAAATTTTTTGCCTCCGCTGCTAGCAGGTTTCGAACTTGCGCCAACCCACGCCAAACCCTTTGGCACAACACTCCCTCCACTCTGCCACTATATCATCATATGATCATATATGCAATATATATTATTTATATACTATATTAACCGCAATTAATACAAAATAATATTTATAAATATAATTTTTTTAATTCAATATAATTTTTGTAAAAAAATAAATTATTTGCTAAAAAAAAAAGTATGCGACTTTTGGCGACTAAAACCATTTTTTAGTCGCTAATTGTATTATTTTGGGCTACTAATTACTTATTTGTCGCTAAAAAACAAGTTCTCAATTAAAAATCAGGACTTCTGGCGACTATCCAGAAATTTCGTCGCCAAAACCACTACTTTGGGCGACTAAAATGGATTTTCGTCGGCAAAACCCCCACTTTCAGCGACTAAAAAACTGCTATAATTGGCGACTAAACCTGTTTTTTGTCGCCAAAACCGTAACTTTTCGCTACTAAAGTATTTTAGTCGCCAAAAACTGTGACTTTTGGCTACGAAACAAAGTTTAGTCGCTAAAAACCCTATATTCGGCGACTAAACTTCATTTTAGTCGCTAAAACCCTGATTTTCGGCGACTATACTCTTTTAGTCGCTAAAACCTTGCTTTTCGGCGACTAATTCCATTTTAGTCGCCATTTCATGCACTTTCAGCGACGAATTTTTTTTTTTTAGTCGCCGTTGGTGTTTTTTGTTGTAGTGTTTGCAACTAAGCTTTGATAATGACACACTACAACAAATTATGGTTTATTGACAAAAATTTAAGAAAAATCACTTTTTATGTACGAAATATCTTAATTATCAAAAGTGTAATTTTTATATTTTTAGTAATGAAATTAGACATTTAGTATTGAATTATTATGCTTGTTTAGACGAAAAATTTCTTCTTGAAAAGTAAATTTTTAAAACTTTTTTGTTGTTATTTTTTATTTATTTATTTTTGTACACTTTTTATAATGGACTTCTCAGGACAGATATAATTGATCTCCTATTTTTTTTTTCAGACAAAAAAATTAATTCCTAAAATCCGTAATAGGATATAAGTGCCACCACATGACCCATTAGTAATTTGCAACGTCCATAAGATAAAATTTGCCATGCTTGTACGGATCAAGCAATTACTATATGGAGAAATTCTCTCTCACTCTTCTCTCTCTCTCTTCTCTCTCTCTCATCCCAACATTGCAAAATTGTCTTATCAACGTTTCATTCAATGATTAAAAGGTCGGGACACTTTTTGAGTAGCAAATAGCCCCTCCTACCAAACTCAAACAACATGAATTATCTTTTATAATCAGTAATGTTAGATATTATGAAAAAATTTTCATGAAAATAATCATGAAAGTTTTGTAATCCTTAGATTACACTTAGAATAAAGCACCATACACTAATCAAGAGAATCTAAAGATTATAAATCTTTCGTGATCATTTTCATAAAAAAAATTTCATAATCCCTAACTTTTTCTTTTTTGTAATAAGCAGACAAATGGAGTCTCTGTTTTGGCTTAGTCTACAAGACAAATCAAACACACGTTTGCCACCTTGGCTTACACCCCAAAGCATCCCAACCATAACATTAATTGCACTCCAAAAGCACAGAACTCTCAATAGACAGAGAGAGAAACTAATCACTAATTCACTTGCAACAAGAAAAGCCTACCTTTCCCTTTCATAATGTGCCACCAAGCATATAAGATACGATACATGTATGTGGGTTCCACCATTTGCTGTTAAACCCATATATCATTTTTGTCTGATTGGTATATTTGTTGGTAAATTTGTTATTGTTCTTAACATTATTTGCATAGAAGGGCTTATGCTTCTTAAACAAGAATATATGAATGTGAACCAAGGTGGCCTCAGTTCCGCACTGGACCTTTAATCATGTTGTTGCTCGTATAATACATATTGATTTTAAGCTAGAGTTTCTATTCTTCCACTGCTGAGTAGGATCAGAATAAGGAAACAAACCATTTTGTGTATATTTTTTTTTATGTTTTAGGTCGTCAAATTCTACTAATTAATCTTGATTCTTCCAGCAGAATCATATAGAAGCAGAAATGAGTGTTTCACCTCCTCCTGCTAAAATACTGGTAGGCATATCTTTAAACCCAGATGATAGCAAAGAGCTTGTGGCATGGGCAATCAGGATTGTAGCTCATCCAAATGACACTCTGGTTGCCTTACATGTTCTTGGTTAGTATCTTCTCTTCTACCTAATCTTAATTTGTCATTTCATTCATCATATTAATTAAGACCACTTTTTGAGTAGCAAATAGCCCCTCCTACCAAACCCAAACAACATGAATTATCTTTTATAATCAGTAATGTTAGATATCATGAAAAAATTTTCATGAAAATAATCATGAAAGTTTTGTAATCTTTAGATTACACTTAGAATAAAGCACCATACACTAATCAAGGGAATCTAAAGATTATAAATCTTTCGTGATCATTTTCATGAAAAAAATTTCATAATCCCTAACTTTTTCTTTTTTGTAATAAGCAGACAAATGGAGTCTCTGTTTTGGCTTAGTCTACAAGACAAATCAAACACACGTTTGCCACCTTGGCTTACACCCCAAAGCATCCCAACCATAACATTAATTGCACTCCAAAAGCACAGAACTCTCAATAGACAGAGAGAGAAACTAATCACTAATTCACTTGCAACAAGAAAAGCCTTCCTTTCTATTTTGGGAATTTGGCTAAAAGTCACTTTTTTTGGTTAGTAGCAAAAGTCAAAAGTTGGCTTTTTTGGCTTTTTTTTCATTTGGCAAGTTGGTTTTTAGCCAACGGTGAAATTACAATTTTACTCCTCATGGGTCACAATGTGTTACATAGGTTCAGTTGTAAATATTTTAAATAAATGGGGGTAGTTTAGTCATTTTATTATGATTTAACATCATAAACAAATATTAATCAAAAAAGTCAAAAGTCACTTTTTACCAACTTCCCAAATCATTTGTCTAAAAAAGCCAAAAGCTTGGTTAAAAGCCAAAAAGTCACTTTTTACCACCTTCCCAAAACAACCCATAATGTGCCAACAAGCATATAAGATGCGATACATGTATGTGGGTTCCACCATTTGCTGTTAAACCCATATATCATTTTTGTCTGATTGGTATATTTGTTGGTAAATTTGTTATTGTTCTTAACATTATTTGCATAGAAGGGCTTATGCTTCTTAAACAAGAATATATGAATGTGAACCAAGGTGGCCTCAGTTCCCCACTGGACCTTTAATCATGTTGCTGCTCGTATAACACATATTGATCTTTGTTAGCTTTTGATAAAACCTTTTTTAGAATGAACTATATTTTGCATTGAATTTTTTTCACTTATTGATTCATATATTTTGCCCAAAGGTTTGCATCCTTTTATATAGAGAAGGTTATACATAAGTTCAATGAATAAGATTCATGAACCTAAACAACCTTACAATTAACTAAGTACATGAATATAATCTAGACAATGTACTTAATAAATATAAAATACATGAATATAAAAATACATTAATACAAAAAATGTATGAACTCAATGTATCCAATACATGCAACGTATCCAATGTATCTAATGTAAATATGGCATTAATTTTACCACTCCCCCTTAATGCCATATTGTGTGACACCCAACATTTCTCTAAAAAATTTAAATTTGTCCCTTGGTAAAGCTTTGGTGAAGATGTCCGCAACTTGATCTTCAATCTTGCAATACTTGATTTGAATCTCATCATCTTCCACAACTTCTCTAATGAAATGATGCTTGATAGCAATGTGTTTGGTACGAGAATGGTAGATGGGATTATTTGCCATAGCAATAGCAGACTTATTATCACAAATAATTGGAGTAGCTTCACCTTGCTTCTCACCAAAATCATCCAAAATTTTTCTTAGCCAAATTGCTTGTGTAGTTGCCAATGATGCTGAAATATATTCGGCTTCAACAGATGATTGTGCCACAGTTTGTTGTTTCTTGGATGACCATGAAATTACGCCCGATCCAAGAGAAAATGCATACCCAAAAGTTCTTCTCATATCATCAACACATCCGACCCAATCACTATTACAAAATCCAATTAACTTTGTATCAAGAAATTTCTCATAAAAAATTCCATAATCAAGTGTACCTTGAATGTATCTCAACACTCTTTTTGCAACCCCAAAATGAATTTGGCTTGGACTGTGCATGAACCGAGACAATAAACTTGTAGCATACATGATGTCCGGTCTTGTAGCAGTTAAGTACAACAAACTTCCAACCAAACTTCTATAACAAGATGCTTCAGCTTCTTTGCTTCCATCTTCCTTTGACAACTTTTCATTCACAACCAAGGGAGTAGCAACTGCTTTGCAATTCCTCATTTTAAATTTCTCAAGAAGTGTTTGACCATACTTCTTTTGGCAAATAAAAACACCACCATTGTTTTGGTAAATTTCAACGCCTAAAAAATGATGCAATAGTCCCAAATCACTCATTTCATATTTCTTCATCATCTCCGTTTTAAAATCTTCAATCAATTTTTCATCACTACCGGTAAAAACCAAATCATCAACATAAAGTGAAACAATGAAAATACCGGTTGTACCTTGCCCCTTGATGTACAGAGTTGGCTCAATTTTTCTTCTTTGAAAACTCTTTTCATTGAAGTAAGCATCAATTTCACTATACCATGCCCGGGGTGCTTGCTTCAGGCCATATAAAGCCTTCTTCAACTTGTACACTTTATCTTCTTTGCCTTTGACAACAAAGCCTTCAGGTTGATTAACAGACACCTCTTCTTCTAATTTTCCATTTAAAAATGTTGATTTTACATCAAGTTGGTGCAAGAACCAACCCTTTTGAGTTGCCAAAGCAATGATAGCTCTAATTGTATCAAGTCGAGCCACAGGAACAAAAGTTTCTCTCTTATCAATTGGTTATTTTGACTCAACTTGAACTATCTGGTGGGAAATTACATCTTATTTCTTCAATTATCAAGCTTGAACTCATCTATGTGGACAAATAGTTGTGTGTGTGTGTGTGTGTGTGTGTGTGTGTGTGTGTGTGTGTGGAAGTTGGAATCTCATGGAATTGAGTTATGAGTTTTAAGGATTGAGAATCCAATTTATATTTAGATTGATATATGATTGTAAGTTCTATTTACATGATTTTTGGACCTACTCGAAGCCTTGTAAACACTTACCAAAAATTGGGTTTTGCTGGAAATTTCAGACTGAAACTAGGCAGAATCGCCGCACTTGCGGGGGGTCATGGCCGCACGTGCGGGGAAATGGAGGATTTTGGGTCTTTAGCTACTAGAATAAAGGCACGTGCGGGGCTTCACTGCCACACGTACGGGACCAACTGCCGCACGTTCGAGGCACACAGCTGCACGTGCGGCCCATGCTGCAAAATACCATCTGCTCCGTTTTACGTGCTCGACCCTCTGATATTTTTGAAATCTGTATTTAAGGCCTTTTTGATGTTTGTAAATTCATTCGAAGCGAAGCGAAGCGAGTCCGAAAATGACTTAATAAGGAAAAAGAACTAATTTATAAGTTGTGCATGTGTTCAGGTCATAACCCGGGAGGAACAAGCGCTCCGCCACCGCACTGTGAGTAATAGTATTGCAGCAGTATGTTTTGCTTACCGTTAATAGTTAATATTAACGTTCTGTTGTTATCCGTGAGTTAACTTTATTAATTTAGAGTGATCAAATGGAACATATGTGCATCATGGAATAATGATACCTTTGCGTGTCTGGAACCGTTCTGTTTTGGCATCGATGGGCCCAAGGCTGTTATGATGAGAATTGTTCTATCCCTATGAATTGTGCTTAGTGATATATGTGCCTTCTGTTACTAGTTATCATTAATATTCTGTTATACGCAAAACAACTATGTCGACTTGTGATAAATCATGGGGAATTGTATGTGTGCTAATGTCTAGTGGTATTCTCATGAATTTGGGATTATTCTGTTTTGCTAATACTGGGCCGGAGGACGTTCTGTACTATCTGTGGGCCAGAGGCCAATCTGTTGATATCTGGGCCAAAGGCCAATCTGTTGATATCTGGTCCAGAGGCCATTCTGTATAATCTGTTAGGCCAGAGGCCATTCTGTATAAATCTGTTAGGCCAGAGGCCATTCTGTATAATCTGTTAGGCCAGAGGCCGCTCTGTATAATCTATTGGGCCTAAGGCCGTTCTGGGTGATGCCGGGCTTGAAGCCACTCTGTACAAAGATTGGGCCCAAGGCTGTTTTGGAAATATTTACAGGAAAAGATCAACCATGTGACCTCTGTTCTTATACACATTGTAATTCAAGTTTATTTATTAAGTTGTTTATGTACTATTATTCACTGAGCCTCGCTCACCTTGTGTTATGTCTGTCTTTGTAGGCAATCAACCTGGAGGTCGGTCTTAGTCCAGCTTTGGTCGCTTCTTTTTGGTCAAGTAGTGTGAAGAAGCTCATGTGTTCTCTGTCGTTTCCTTGGTGACCACTAGTTTGGTCTTTAACCTTTTAATTGGTGGTGTATACCCTTCATTATCAACATTTTTGTTGTAAGCCCACATGCGAGGCTAGTTCTGTGCGTATGTCCATATATGTTATTGTGTGACTGCAAATATTTGCTTCTCGTATATCTGTTCACCATTTTTGGAACTGTTTAATGGCATATTGAGATCCTGACATATAGGTACGAGCTCGATGGATGTTAAGTTATGTTATTTTATGTTGTTAAGTGCTTCCGTTCAGGCCCCATATATTGTATGTATTAAATTAACTGTCCGTTTCTAAAGTAGTCATACCCAAACTTTTAGGGGCGGGTTTGGGGCGTGACAAAAAGCATGCTAGAATGACATGTTAAAGCATGATGCATGTTAGGCTAACTCAAGGAATTGCACTACAAGTGCATGGAGCATGCAAAGGCCAATCAAACCAAACCGTAACAGAGGTATGACATGGCAAAACATCACCAAAAACATGCTGAGATGGACTCAAATGAAGCTAGAATGACATGCTACTTCATGAAGCATACAAAAGCTAGTTTATGAGATTTACACTATAAGTGTGTAAACCATGCATGGAGTGACAAAACCAAGCAAAAATAGTGGTATGCCTTAGCAAAATAAGCCCAAATAAAAGCTAAGATATGGCCAACATAAACTTAACAAACATGCTCACACATGAGGCATTCAAGACAAGTATTGAAGACACAAGGAGAGGGGATGACCCTCTCCTATTTAGGACACCAAAACCACCTTTCTACCACTGAAAATCCTCTAGATTTCAGTGGTACCACCACTGAAAATCCTCTGGATTTCAGTGGTAGAAAGGTCAAAACAAGATGGTCCCAAAGCTTAAAAAGAAGGCACAAAAGCAAGGCCAAACAAGGCCTAAGAAGGGGTAAACAACCCCAAATACAAAAGTGACCTTAAATAAAGATCTTAAGCACCAAAAGTCAGAACCTTTTGCAGTAGGAAGTTAGTCTTAAAACAGCATGCAAAAGGGTCCAAAAGCTTAAGCAAAAATGGGGGATTTAAGGGTTAGAAACTCACCCTTGAAGACCACCTTTAAAGCTGCAACTTCAGCAGGTTTTTCAAGCTCAAACCAACCCAAGAACACCAAAACCAGCTCCTAAGCACCTCAGCAACAAAAGGATGGTGTTTGAGTGTGTGTTTGTGTGCAAAAGTGAGACAAAATGACAATTTAAGGCACAAAACAAGAGCAAAAGAGAGATATAGATATAAGTGTGTATGTATAACTCAAACCACAAATTTCTGAACCTGGAGGAGGGAGGGGAAGCCTCCCTCTTATAGAGAGCAAAAGCACAAGCTTCTTGAAGAAGCTAAGGCTCAAGGCCATCCCTTCATACACGTGTATGGAGGATGGTTCTTGTGCTCTCCAGCTGTGCCAGCTGGCCAAAAATATCTCTAAAAAGGTGACAAAAAGCAACCGACCACTTGAAGTAGTCGGCTAGCAACTTTAAGTAGTCGGCCGACCACTTTAAGTGGTCTCCCAAAAATGAAACTGGTCGGCCATGGTGGGAGAAGGTCAGTCGCATGAAAACAAGCAAATGGTGTGGTGGCCGATCACTTTTGACGGTCCAAAGACCAGGGAGACCAGTTGTTAGACTAGAAAATTGGCTGGCAGGAAGAAAAGTGGTTTGCGGTGAGAGAAACTGGCCTCCCACCCTTGTACCATCTTCCAAACAAGGAAAACAAGGTTTGTACCAAAAACAAACCAAAACAGATGCAAGACGAAAGTTCGGGAGGCAAAGCGCGCAGCCGGGAGCCTCGAAAACTAGCTAACAAGCACCAAAAATGGTTCACGACCACAAAAGTGGTCTCCCAAACCACAGTGGCCCTCTAGGCCAAGGAAACAAGGTGTGGTTCAAAAATCACGCCAAACGGAGAACGTTAAGCGATCCCGAGACAAGGCGCGCGGCCGAAGGCTCTGAAAACCAGAAACTAGTCTCCAAACGGGAAGAGTGACCTACGACCATGAAAAGTGGTTTACGACCACAAGAAGGGGTTTACAAGACCTCTCCTTCTCTCAGGCAAGGAAAACAAAGCTTGGTCCGCGAACTGAGCCGAAGCACAAAGAGTTCAAAGGCCCGGAGGCAAGGCACTCGGCCAAAACTCCAAAACCTCAAAACGAGCACAACATGCACAATCACCGAGCGCTCGATCGAGGATGTTTGAGTCTTAAGGTCGGTCAAAAATGGAGTGTCTACAGTTGCCCCTCTTTGACGGAACTCGGAAGTCATAGGTGACATGAGTGAATGTCAAAGCCCAGAGACGACCCATTTTTGACAAGGCTGAAGACTTGGACAAACAGGCAAGATAACAAAGAGATTTCCCCGCAGGCAGGGGCAAAATGCAAAAGACATGCACAAAGCCAAACATAATTTATGATTATGCAAAGAAAGCTGTAATGAAGCAAACATATACAATAAATGCAACAGTTTAAGCATGCGAATACAAATCAAACTACATTACATGCGGAAAGGATGTAAGAGAATTATACAATTCTCGCTACATCTCACGCGGAGAACATACAATACCGTCTGGTTCGTCTGGTCGCGCCAACTTCAAATGAACCGTATATACAATATCGTCGGGTCGCACCAGCCTCAAATGAATCGTACATACAATATCGTGCCTGCAAAAGAAAGAAACTTAACAGGTATAATATAGTTAGCAACACATGTTCAACGCTATATCAAACATGGACACATATGATGCCGATGGAAAAGTGCATAGCAATGCAAGTGAAAAGTACGTGACAATGCAAGCAAAGTGTGGGTACATGACAATGCTAGTGAAACGTGCATAACAATGCAAGTAGTGTGCATAACAATGCAGGCGAAACGTGCGTGACAACGCGCGTGAAGAATGCATGACAATGCAGGTGGAAGGGGTGCATGATAATGCAACCTAAGTATGATGTATAACAGTACAAAAATGGGGTGCATGACAATGTAACCTAAGTGTGACGCATAATAATGCGGTGCACTAATAAGTGCAGAAAAGGTGCGCAAGAAAGAGCGAACAATACTATGCAATGCACAAAATAGTGCGATGCGCTAAACAGCGCGAGTGCACAAAACAGTGCGATGCGCAAAATAGCGCGATAAAATGCATGCACAATGCAAGTAAGGTGCACAAAACAGTGCGATGCGCAAAATAGTGCGATAAAATGCATGCACTATGCAAGTAAGGTGCATAAAACAGTGCGATAAAACAGATAGTACAGTAGATGCAAAGGGGGACATGCTCCAACCATGCTGGAATCATGAGAGGAGGAAAGACAAACAATCAGGTGCGTACACCACGCAACCTGAGACAAATTCCAAACATGCTGAAATCGTGAGAGGAAAGGGACACTCAAACCACGTTCAAATCGTGAAAGGAGGTCCGAAAACAAACCGCCCAAGCGCGTACATGACGCAACCTGAGATAAATTCTAAACACGCTAAAATCGTGTGAGGAAAAGGGACACTCAAAC